AGGGAGGGAGGAAGGAAACCAGAAATTGGTTTTTATTAATGGTGAATAAAAAACAGAACAAATTCTACCTGTGTAATGATTTAAATCTTGTACTAAACGGAATACAAATTTTACACAGTCATTGCTATGCCAAGTTAACATTTTTTAAATTAAACAGGTATGAATAGAAAAACTTAATTCTCCCATTTATGCCAATGACACACCCCTCTGTATGGCTTATCATATTGTCCTCAGCAAAGTACATTAATTACCTGTTTATTGTATGAGGGGATAACAACTTGGTAATGGAGATACAAAAACTGTAAGAATATTCTAATATGAGAAAGAGAGTCTGAAACTCACCTGTGAAAATAAACATGTTCAAATGGAGAATCAAGAGGCCAGGGCATATAAAACTTGCTCTAACTGATACTAAAATATATTGAGAATCTCAAAAAGATAAAATTTAAGACATGGATTCTGTTCTTGGGGATCTTGTAGTGTGGTTTGGGAGATGGAACTTCTATGTAGGGATGTACAGGGCACAGCAGATAACCATGCTCAGAGTCAAATGAGCAACATGGGTGAGAAGAGTGGAAGTTCAGAGCAGAGGGCTTTTTGGGAGCTAAGGATGCCAGGAAAAGCCTCAGAGTCACACAAATTGATATATTTTTTTAAATTATCACTTCTGGATTTTAGAATCAACACCTTGTTTTCTTTTCTTCCTTACCAAATCACCAGTATCTTCCTATCCAAAAGCCATGTTGGTCTTGAACCTAGTCTAATAATCTCCTATTTTTAGATAATGAATGTTTTCATCAGTCAGTCAACACTATCTAGTGAGTCCTAGTGAGTACAGACAGTGGTAAACATTGCGGGACAAAAGGTAATGAAGAAAGCAGAGGAAATAACCTTCATCCCCCAAACTGAAGTGGATACTTGTTGGGGAAGCTGCCTGTCTCACAAGAACTGCCCCTTCTCTTGGTACAACCTCTGATCCACAGGCTGCACCACTACCTCCATCCCCCAGCAGACCCTTTCTCTACTGTATAATCCTGTCCTGTCCGTAGTCAGACGACAGTTCTAAACTGGGCCAACTTCAAATTCTATCCTAAGAAATACTAAACCTGATTTTCATTGAGGCTGATTCAAATTTCTAGCAGGGTTCCAGATAGAAGGGTCACAAATTCCCACTACTAAGGCCTCTAGCATGGCCCTGGTTTCTGTCCTTCCTACAGGTTGCTTATTCAATAATTTGCCCTCTATAGATGCCCTAGTATTCCTTTTTTTTTTTTAGAGACAGCATCTTGCTCTGTCACACAGGGTGGAGTGCAATGGTGTAATCACAGCTCACTATAACCTCAAACTCCTGGGCTCAAGTGATACTCCTGCCTCAGCCTCCCAAGTAGCACATAGCTGGAACTACAGGGGCACACCGCCATGCTTGAATAATTTTTTAATTTTTATTCTTGTAGAGACAGGGTCTTGCTATGTTACCCAGGCTGGTCCCAAACTCCTGGCCTCAATTGATCCTCCTGCCTTGGCATCTCAAAGTGCTGGGATTACAGGTGTAAGCCACTGTGCCTAGCCTATTTTTTTTCCAATAAATGTCCTCCCCTCATGATTTTTTTGCCAAAACCAATTAGAGTCAGTATCTAATGTTTTCAAATAAGAAGAAAAATAAATAATTTATGAATTGTTTCTAGAGAGTATGCTGTGAATTCTAGACCTTCAAGAAAAATGTAATGGTTTATTTTATTGCGGTGGGAGTGAAGGAAGGCAGTAAGGCTCTACCCTGTATTTGGAGATATGAAATTAGCAATGCTTGCTAAAAAGTAGCAAAACAGCAATAAATGAATTTCTTGTGGTCAACTAGATACTGAGAAGAAAGTATTAGAGGACCCAGTCGCTGGCACCATAAGCAATTTGAAAGAAATGAGACAAGCTGATACCACAGGTTAGATGGTTGTTTTGAGTGTATCAGGATAACCTAATGTAAGAGAACAGCAAACTTAGTCCTATAAGTCTCTCCTATAGGCATAAAATCAAAGTCAAAGTCTTCATATGATCCTACTAGCTACTAGCCTGAAATAACAAAACACCAAATTTAGAAATTGATGTTTTAAGGTATTGAATTATACCTCCACTTGCATGTATAAACTAGGTTTCATATGTAGATACAGCATGATCAGGAAAGAGTAAAATCCTAGTGATGGAAACTGAGATATATGGGAGGAGTCAGAGGAATTGGGGAAACTAAGTCTTCTAGCCTCTCTGAAATGTTCCCACATTGCATCCCCATTCCCACCAACCAGAAGAAACTAACAACCCAGCCCACTGGGCTCCACTATTCAGCAATGCCCACTGTATGACCAGCATTTGAACTCTTCATGGACTGGATGGGGTTATGCAGAATCAATGCAGAGAAGAAAGAAGTTATACACAGAGACTAGCTAAGGAATATCATTAAGACTGGGGATATTGCGTTGGCATAGATTTTGAGGATAGGGTGTGTTATTAGTGGTTTCATTTACTAAGTAATCCATCTCCTGATGAATATCAGATGGGATTTCAATGTAACTAAAAAAGGAATGAAGATTACCCAGGTATCTAGATTTAGAAAAAAATGGCTCTGTGGATTCAGTAGTTGGTGTTACTTTGCATTGTAGCTCATTGCATTTGTGGTTATCAGGTCATGTTGAATAGGAGCATCTTGGGACATATGGGATGAAGTGTATTGTGTGTGTGTGTGTGTGTGTGTGTGTGTGTGTGTTTAATGCTAAGCAGCTAAAAAGGAAAATGTAATAGTCACCACATGGAGCTGGTGCCTGATGCCCTCTTCTCTGAGTACAGCCCCTGAAACTCAGAATGAGCCCATGAAGCCTTTGTCTGTATTATGTGGCATCCTGATACCTCCCACCCTCTGCTCCCACCACCACAATAGCTGGACGCAGTGGTGTACCAAAGGTTGGGCAAGGGAAGCAGTGTGCCTGGGGGAAGGCAATAAAAAAATCTGTAGAGAATTTAAAAGCAATAATAAAGCCAACTAGAAGTCAGTCTGCTTTTCATTATCACCATGTGCCGGTGATTCCAAACAATGTCAGTGATACAGTACTGCTTCCTAAAAAAAAGCTTTTGTGGGTCTAAGTTCTAAACCATTGTTTTGTTACTACTGAGTTTTAATAATATGCATGTAAGCTTCAAATTAGCACTTTTTTATTACTTATCCTTTATAGCTTGCATTCTACTTAGAAGTTAATTCAAACTCCCAGTTATACAGTCATGCCCCAATACACACAAACTCAGCCACACACGTTCGTTTTGAATAAGTTCCTGATAGTTTGAAAATCATTCGAGCTTACTTCACATGCCCAACCCCATGGTACCACATACTCCTGCATCTAAACAGTAGATTCAAAATAAGCAATAATATTACAGTGATTACAGAAATGAAGAAACAGATTTTGAGTTACTTTAATTCCATCATTCTGTGAATGCCAGGAGAAATGACAAAAGATGCTGGTCTTATGTTGCCAGCAAAAATCAAAAGAACAATGTATAAATGTCTTGGTCATTATCACCAAGAACTGGGCACCTGATCTAAAGCAATGGGCAGAATAATGATGTTAGTATTTGCTAATATTCAGACATGAATGCTGATATTTTTATTGAAACATAACTGTACATATTGCATGCATGTGATATTTTGATACATGCATACAATATGTAATGATCAAATTAGGGTATTTAAGATATTCATTACCTCAAAAATGTATCATTTCTTTTTTTTTTTTTTTTTTTTTTGAGACGGAGTCTCGCTCTGTCGCCCAGGCTGGGGTGCAGTGGCGCGATCTCGGCTCACTGCAAGCTCCGCCTCCCGGGTTCACGCCATTCTCCTGCCTCAGCCTCCCGAGTAGCTGGGACTACAGGCGCCCACAACCGGCCCGGTTAATTTTTTGTATTTTTAGTAGAGACGGGGTTTCACCGTGGTCTCAATCTCCTGACCTTGTGATCCGCCCGCCTCGGCCTCCCAAAGTGCTGGGATTACAGGCGTGAGCCACCGCGCCCGGCATCATTTCTTTATGTTGGGACTATTTCACATCTTCTAGCTACTTTAAAATATACAATAAATTAGTATTAACTATAGTTACCCGACAGAACTATTGAACACTAGAACTTATTCCTTCCATCTAACTATATGTTTGTACTCATTAACCAACCTTTCTTCATTCCCCCTGAACATCCCTTCCCAACTTCTGGTAACCATCATTCTACTCTCTGTTTCCATGAGATCAACTTTTTTAGCTTCCACAGATGAGTGAGAACATGAAATATTTGTCTTTCTGTGCCTGACTTATTTCACTTAGTATGTTGACCTCCCGTTCCATCCATGTGGCTGCAAATGACAGGATTTCATTCCTTTTTATGGCTGAATAGCATTTCATGGTGTATCTATACCACATTTTCTTTTACCCCTTCATTAATCAATAAACACTTAGGTTGATTCCATATCTTGGCTTTTGCGAATAGTACTAGAATACACATGGGGTACTGGTATCCTTTTGATATACTTTCTTTTGGATAAACACCCAGCAGTAGGAATGCTAGATTGTATGGTAGTACTATTTTTAGTTTTTTGAGAAAACTCCATACCATTTTCCATAGTGGTTTTACTAATTTACATTTCTATCCACAGTGTATAAGAGTTCCCTTTTCTCTGTATCCTCATCCGTATTTGTTGTTTTTTGTCTTTTTTTTTATGATAGCCATTCTGAGGCGAGATGGTGTCTCATTGTGGTTTTGATTTGGATTTCCCTGATGATTAGTGATGTTGAACATTTTTTCAAATACCTGTTGACCATTTGTATGTCTTCTTTTGAGAAATGTCTACTTGGGTCTTTTGCCCATTTTTAATGGAATTATTTGGTGGGGGAAGAGGTTGCTGTGAAGTTGTTTGTAACTCTAATTTTTGTAGGACAAAAATTTTGGAAGTTTTAACTAAAAATAATAAAAAATATGACTGCACTTGCGTTTCTGTTTAACTTGTGAACAAGCCCTTATAGACAGGTGAAAAAATAAATCCTCTTTTGCAACCCAGATCTCATTGCTTAATAAGAGTTTTGATACACATAAAAGAGATATTACAATTTTTTAAATGATGAATTTTCTAATTTTTTTAGAAATGTTTCAACTGTGCCAGCATTTGAAAGCTACTAGACTCATTCCCTAAGACATGAAAACATGGATGGCATTGTAATTTCTAGAACTTCTTATGAAATGAGGTTTTTGTGAGTCTGCTAAACTTATCTTTCTGTTTAAAACTTTTTCTATTTATTTACATGTTTCTTCAGATGAATTTTTAAATTAAAATTAATAAGAAGTATGAACAAAGATAGAGTGACATACCTGATTATACTGACTGTTGAGGATAAATATGCAAAGATTAATTTTGATAAAATTATTTACAAGTTTGCAAAAGTTACAACCTGAAAATGAAAATTGTGATATATTGTTATCATTCATTGCTGTGACAGACCAATCTGCAAGTCTAAATTTTTCTTTTCTCCAAAAAAATTAATGTAATAAAAGTATTATTTCATTACTTTGCCCTTTATTATACTGTAATAATTCTTTTGTATCATATTGTTTATTTATATTTTATTAGTATGACTGTATATACACAGTTTAATAAATTGTTTTTTCACTGTTTGCATTTCTTTCCTGGCATCATCATCAGTTATACTAATGCATACATTAACTGTATTTCATGATTACCAATGAAAATAACTTTGTTGGGGAGGTGTTACAAAATTATTCACTTCAGGTATCTAATATGCCAGACATCTCACTAGCTGGCTCATCCAGGGCACATAACTGACCAAACTGGGGCCCCTCGACTCCCTCCCCAGGAAGGGGGAGGGTGGCTCTGAGCAGCAATGGGCCTGACTCAGTGGGAGCTGAGTCATGTAATCAACAGCACCATAGAGTCCGTGAACTCCCACCATAGAGGTCCTAGAGCTGCCCTGCTCTGACCTTCCCACAGCCCCCTTGGGTTGTGAGATACCCCAGAGTCATTCCAGTAAAACTCCCTTCTGCCCCTTTTGCTCTTAGAGCCAGGATCAGTTTCTACTACTGGAAGAGCTATTTTTCCACAAGGAAGGACCTACTGGTAGAGGAGGAAGGGTGGCATGGGAATGGAATAGCAGGGAAAGAATTCTGCCAGCCAAAGCGTCTGAAATGAGAGCACACACCCATGCTCCGCTGCTCACTCTGCAAGGACGACCCACAGAGACACCTGGCACAACAGCGTGGGGTGTGTGAGTGGGACACGGGGAGGGACAGGAGTAAAAAGACAGCTGAAGGGGAGGCTGCCTGTGCACCGGGAGTCCCACACCTCCCTTCTCACCGGGCAAGCCTCCTAGCCCAGGACCTTTTTCCAACCATCTAAAGATGTGGGTTGTCCCTTGCTGAAGAAGTGACAATGACATCAGCCCCCAGGTGGCTACTAACACTTATAGAACATCTAATGTCCAGGTTAGATATAAGCTGTGGACGTCCATAGAACTGTCTACCCAGCCTGCTCTCAGCCCCACAGTAAGGCAAGAGTGTCCTGATTCTTGCATGTCCCCACCCCACTGGCCTCAGCTAACTGACCCAGGGATGGTCTCTGACTCATGCTGAACCAATGAGCTTCTTCCCCAGGAATTTTTAACTGGGCCTTGAGGAAATCAAGGTCAGACTCCCTCTCATAGGGGAAGCTATGGCTTTCCAGAAAGCTGGATTGCAGTGACGAAGGGACAGGCAGAGATAAACAGAACAAAATAATAGGTGGCATTTGAGTCTCTTGTTCTAGCCACATCCTCGAGACTTGGTTGTTCTACATGTCTTAGGATTCTTAGAGGAATAAATTCCTTGTTTTGCTTATTGAGGTGAGGTCTTGGTATTTGCAAAGTTACACAGGTTGTGTGAACCTTAAGTGTGCTGGGTTACTTTTTGAAAACAAGAACAACATTGAGAGATCAGAAAACATGAGTGGCTGTCACACCAATCCACCTACCAGCTGTGACTTGTGATTGTCGTACCTGGCAGTTGCATACTTGAGACTGTGCTGTATCTGGTTTCACTGTGCTGCCCGCACTTGGCGGGGCCAAGAAGCAGTGGGCAGAGAGCACCCCTAGGAGGGCTGGGGCGGCTGTGCCCACCTGCAGCTCCCACGACAGTTTCATTTTCAGGATGGGATCCAGCTGCCTGGCCCTGCCTATCTAAGGACCCCACATTGCCTCCTGCTGGATTTCTTCTCTCCATACTTTACCCCCCAGGGCTTACCTCTCACAGGGAGGAAACCCTCTTCTCTCTCCTGATTTAGTGGGAGGGAGGAGATCAGTCTCCAGCGAGCTGTCTTGTGGGATCCAGAGCAGATAAAGAAAGGAACTGATATTTCCCTGCACCTGTGATGTGCCTGGCACTTCTATGTGGGCCATCCCATGTAATCCTGACCATAACCACGTGAGGCAGGTGTTGTTATCCTCATTTTACTTGAGAGCTCAACCAGAATGTTATTCTTCCTCGTGTCTGTAAATAGCACATGTCCTTGGCAGCCACCGTTCTCTCCCCACCCATTTTTCAGCCTTGTTTTCCACACACGAAGCAGCACGATTAGAAAGCCAGCTACTGCTGACTCCTGAATGTTAGAAGCCAGGGGAAGTCCCTATTTTCATACCAAACCTGGTTTCCTGGTGGGCACACAAATTGTTGCCTGCTAAAATAGCAACTCTGGCAAAAATGTCTCCAATCTGCTTAGATGTGCATCAAATTAGGAGCTGGCCTTGCAGTTAAACCGACTGACTGTTTCTAGTGACCTGGAAACAAAACTCCCTTTAAAGCTACCAACTGCTGGCCTAGAATCATCAGCACCACTAGAAACATGGGGCCCTAAAGCAAAGCCTCCTGATGGCTTTGATTTATTTCAACCCCATCCCTCTCCATCACTATTTTTACTGTCTTCCAACCCGCACAGGCCAGGACAAGACTGCCTTCAAGCAGACACACACGCACGCACTAACAGTTATAGATGGTATCAGACGAGTGCAGGCTGGGGGCCATGGTCTCTGCGACTTTAAGAAGAGGAGATGCTCGACTCTCGACTGTCTCTCTTGCACTGCGACTGTCTCTCTTGCACTGCTCGTGCTCTCTCTCTCTCTCTACGCCCTCAGCCTTTAGGCAATCAAGACCAGAGTCACAGGATCAGTTTCCACAGCCACCTTCAACAAAAGTTGATAGCACTGTCATAAACTCAAATGCCTTTAGGGATCTGGCAGGTCACAATAAAAATAGTTGACATTTTCTCAGACATGATGGGCTGTCTCAAAACTTCTATGGCTGCTGTTCCATCTGGCTCAACACTCTTCCTCCCTGGGTTCTCCAGGTGGCTCACTCTTCACCTCCCTCCAGTCTTTTCTGGAGGGTCATCTTTTCAGTGAGGCCTCCCTGACCACCCTATTTTAACTGCACCCAAGCACTGTCCCCTTGCTTTCCTGCTTCATCTTTTTCCGTAGCATTGATCACAGTGCTTACTAAATAATGTGTCTCTCCCATGCCTCCACAAGGCTAGAGGTGCCATAAGGGTAGAGATTTGTCTGTTTCGTTCCCTCATGTATCCCCTGTCCCTAATATGGCCTGGCTTATAGCAGGTGTCCAAATAAATATTCACTGTACACCCTAAACACCTGGACGTATTAATCCTCCCAAAAACCTGTGAGACAGGTACCATGACGATGATGATGACAATGACAATGATAATGCCCATTTTATAGATGAAGCTGGAGTACAGAGAGGTCAAGGTGCACAGCCAGTAAGAGGGAGCTTCCTGAACTCAGACCCATGAAGTCTGGCCTCACACCACACCAGCAATCACTGCAGTGTTTCTCATACTCTCTGTACAATGTGGCAGAGGCTGGCAGCAACTGTGATAATTGGAAAATGCATACCCTGCCTTAAAACATTGTGTTTTTAAAATCCTGTTCTGAACCAAAAAAAAGAAAAAGAAAAATCTGTTTGCCTTATTTAGCCCTCAGGCCACAAGTTAGATGGGGATTAACCTAAAGCAGGCATTGTAGGTAAAAATAGGATTTTACGGCCGGGCGCGGTGGCTCACGCCTGTAATCCCAGCACTTTGGGAGGCTGAGACGGGCGGATCACGAGGTCAGGAGATCGAGACCATCCTGGCTAACATGGTGAAACCCTGTCTCTACTAAAACTACAAAATATATATATATATATATATATATATATATATTAGCCAGGCGCGGTGGTGGCGCCTGTAGTCCCAGCTACACAGGAGGCTGAGGCAGGAGAATGGCGTGAACCCAGGGGTCGGAGCTTGCAGTGAGCTGAGATGGCGCAACTGCACTCCAGCCTGGGTGAGGAATAGCGATTTAAAGAAAGATTACCCAACCAACCTCGGGTGTTGAGGAATCCAAAGGTATTTTTTGCTTGGTTATTTTCCCTTTGTGGCAAGAAGGTCCATGCTAAGGGAGGGTCCCAGGAGAGCCATTTGAACAGTAATCTTGTGGGACCCTCTAGATTTTTTAACAACAGAAGCAGTTAGAAAAACACGGGAGAACCTTCCTGGAGAGTTGATTGCAGGGCCATCCAAATGACAGGCAGGCTGTGGATTGCCACAGGCTGATCTTCTGGGACAGCAGCATCTTCGGAGAAGAAGGACCCCACACAGAGCCATGGACATGTGTATTGTCCTGGCATCTTCCATGGCATAAAGGGATCTCATTGTGTGCCCTTCTAGACCTTCCAGAAACGATCCATTTCTTTGGTGGTTGGGCAGTTTGTGATTAAGACACCACAACATCCCAGCTTCCTTCAGCCCCCAGTCATCTCACATCAGTTGTCAGTTCAGGAATTACAGTGCCAGTCAAAGCCTCCAGAAATGCCTTCAAACAAGGAGACTCTGAAGCCACAAATATTTGTTGAAAGCCACAGGCCACATTAATATCATGACCCAAACTGTAGGAAAGATGAAAGAGGACCATTTCTCTTTTGTGAGGCAGCTGCAGCCAAATAATAACTGGCCCAGTCTCTCCATGCAACCGAAAATAGCTAGATATTATCCATTCCTTCATCAGCCAC